AGCTAAATTGTTACTTTGAACAAATGACTGTTCAAAAACATTTGCAAGGACTTCAACTCTACTTTGATCTGTGACAGCAACGGAGCTGTCCATGGCAACCAGCTTAGGGACAGCAGCCTTGGATTTCAATCCTGAATTGAGGAGGCCGAAGAAGAGGTGGGCTGGAACCTTAGTGAGGGGGACGTACATTTCAATAGCGTGATGCAAAATGGCAAGAAATAATTCATATTTTTTTCATTGACTGTACTTGCAGCATTAAGTAAACCCAATCAGTCCACTCCACTCAAATAGGAACAAATAACATCGTAATTTGCGTCTTTGAAATTACGTTTGGACACCATCATCGAGGGCGGGCTAGTAATACTGAACGAAAATCTGAGAGAGCAGTGGTCACTGGAGCCAACAGGGGGCCAACTTTTAAGTTTTGTATCAAGGATTCATCGTTACACAGATTAAGGTCTAGTATATGAGTACCCCGAGTGTCTTTTCTCACTAACTGGTGCAAGAAATGAGAATAGCACATATCCAAGAAAGAGTTGGAGATAAACGAGGTAGCAACGGGAGTATCAGAAAAGGTAATGTCCGGCAAATTGAAATCACCGCAGATAAGACAATTACCGCCGAACGAGACAATGTCACTGATCGCCTTTATCATTTGTTCTGTTTGTCTGGTGGGGCAATTCGGAGCTTTGTAGATAACCACCATACGAAGAGGATTATCATTAGTAGTCAAATCACAGCACAGAATTTCGTATCCGTTCAGAACAGATTCAGCAAAAACCATATTAGAGCAAAAGGTTTTACGAAGAAAAAGTACCACACCACCCCCTTTCTTGTTTTTGCGATTACATCTAATGACTTCGTATTGAGACGAGCGACTATTCAGGAGCGACAGAATATCCACTTCAAGCAAAAGCCAGGTTTCCACAAGGGCGACAATGTCATAGTGGTGAAAGTCAAGCAGCGAAAAAAAGCGTACCTGTTCTTGGGCAATGATCGAATATTAGCGAATAAAAATGAAACACTTCTATCAATAGGCCGACGAGGAATTCCTAGTTTGACATCACATCAGGATAATAGGCCCAGGATTGGCTGAGGGAGAGTCATGACATACACCAGTATCGACATTATGTGTGTCATGATTATTGAGAGTAGACTGAGTTGAGGAAGCATTAAAACCTTTTTTGCGAGTTTCCCGTGCAACACGAAGCCTTTCTCTTTCCAATTTGGAGAGAGAAGGACGTATATAGAGGCCAGAGATCCCATAGTGCCTCAAACGGGAAGCGCGTTTTAGTACTTGTCTAGCGAAGAATGATGTCGGGAGCAGAACCTCAAGTAGTCTAGGATGTGACATGTTGTAACGACCTAGACGGTAGACAGCGAGGGAAATACGATCAATCGATAAATATTGAAGGATATCTCTTACACGTTGAACGTCGTGATAAACTCTTGCAGAAGATAAGGTAGAATTGCTTTCAGTAATACCAGTAATTATGATAGAACGTCTATGCTCTACCTCTTCATAGGAGATAGAAACATCAGAAGGGGAGGTTTGACTAATGGGCTGAACAGATTCGGTACGAGGAACAATAGCACTTGAAGTGACAGTACCTACATCAGAAAGCTGCTTCCTCAAGTTAAAATTTTCCTGCCCTTATGATTTAACTTCTTCACTGAGCTCACGACAGAGTTGCAGTATGGCTTGGGTTCGTTTTCTGTCATCAATGAGATATGACAGCACCATCCTCAAATAAAAAGGTAGCGACTCGTCTTCTTGGAGGGCAGACATGTGTTTCTCTAGATCAGGCATAGGCGTGGGCAGACATTCAAGACCCGTACAATGTCGTTTTTG